TTATTGTTTGGATTATGATTTGCTGGAGCATAGCAGATGATATGTTTGTGTTTATCTTGGGAATATTTACTGAGATTATTCCTATTTTATTTTGAAGGCTTGTTGTGATTCTGTAAGACTTCCGTAGTCATGTGATCAGGAGACAGGAAGTGAAGTGTATTGTTATGTGTTACGCTGTCTAAGTAAAATAAACGAGTGACGGCGGAGCAACACGGTAGTTTTACCGTGGACACATGGGAACATGTGTGAAGCCAACTCAACGCGTAAAACAGTTTAATGTCGTCACTATAGCGTGGTTAAGAAAGAACTCAGTTTAAGAACATAAGATTTACTAAGAAGACCGAAGAAACCACTACACATACTATAGCAAGCTCAGCTCAGGGTAGCTGAATGAGTAAAAGTGAGAGGTTTTATCCAGGACACTGTTAAAGTCAACAGTTTGTTACCTTTTCTAAGTGGATGAGCATGAAGCAGCAGCACGTTCAGGTAACCACTCAATAGTCAGACAGGGGTGCATACAGCAGCATGTTTTACAGCCAGAGTTTTAGAGCTGTAAATGATTTTCCAACAAGGAAACCCTGATGTACCATTGTTACATTTCAAATTATTTGATTGGACTGTTTTAGTTGATAAAAACATGTTAGTGTGAGGCTCTTCTCTGTCCAGTTCCACAGCTAATCAAAGGCTATACAGTCTCCTTTATCAACACTTTTGAATTAATGTACATTTAGATGCACTGATGGAATTGATGAAGCATTAAGAACAGTGATAGTGACAGACTGGGGTAATTACAATCACAGCTTTAAAAACGTTATTAATACATTCAATAATTCAGTTAAGATGTCAAAAATATAGAAAGAAGCATGTGACATTAGCTATTAGTGACATCTATAGTCACCTCTCACAAAGACTCTATTGTTGACTGAGACCAACCTTTCCAAGCGGTCTCGGTTGTGTGGTCCTCACCAGGGTTCGATTGACAGCTTTCACACCAGAGCAATCGAACAGCACTGACTTGGCAAAATGACTCCAGTTCGTTTTAACGGAATCAAACACTTCGGTTGTGACAACGCCCTGGGTCTACTCAGTCTTTTCAATCAGAGTTTGAAGTTGCTGATTTTCTAAGGTAAATTGTAGAATTACCAATGTGCTTATCTGCTAATTTCAACTTAAACCCTGAACCTTAAAGAAAAGGACTTCTTAAGTATGTGTGACATTTTGCCCAATAAACATTCACTTTCTTGCCAAAAGTAAGATGACAAGTTCAATGCAATTCTCCATGTACTGAGCATGAAGCTGCTGTTGTTAGCTTAAATATGGCATGAGTACTGTACATTGGGGAAAGCTGCCCCTGTTAAACAATGTGTTGCTTTCTTTATTTTTCTATTTTTATAATTTATAAAAGAAACAACTTGTTAATTAGTGGACAATATGGGTACAACCAACATGACTGCAAGTTTGGATACAAAAAAAACCTCTGTAGTCTTTTTTAAGCATACTTCTTGTGAGGCAATTAGAGTGTGGGATTTTTAAGTGTCCCTCAGTGACCTCGAGAATTTTAACCACATACCTGTCATGTGGGGAGCATATTATTGTAGAGGAAATGTCACCAAAATCCATCCAGCCGTCTTGAAAGATGAAAAATAAGGAAAGATGATTGTAAATTTGTGATGGACTGTTTTTCCAACTGCAATCAAAGGAACAAAAAAAATTGACCTGCCAGCATAGATGAAACAATGTTTGAGACTAAGGTAAAGACTCACCATACTCCCAAAGTACTTGTCCTGAAGCACACGTTCTCTGCAGTACCATGAAATCCTAAGGGGCTCTTTTGTGGTCGGCTACAGCAACTAATCAAGTGATGACTCATGTGATCCCTTTGGATGGAAACTGATCAGACAGAGAAAGGTGGGAGCAGACGGGAAGCAAGGAGCAGAGGGAAAAGGTCACTTTGTGTTTCCTGAATGCTGCTCAGAGAATATTCAACAGCATAATTCATCACCTCTTTGACTGCTTGAATTGACACACACGTGGGAAAACACTGACATACAGTACACATGTGTCCATATGTGTGTCCTCATCCGTCACTACTTCATGTTCTTCTTATTATCCTTCTATTTTATAAGCTTTAAGGACCAATATGTAAGAAATCTTCTGAATTAAATCAACAAATGACCTCACTTTATCATCAGTCATAAAGGACACATGCTATGTGGATGTGCTGGTTTCTTTGACAACAATGCAGCAGCCAGTATGTCCTCCTCTTAAGTTTCGATTCTTGTCCTGAATGGTCTTTATTTGTTTTGACCAGAGAGGGTCGGCGGTTTTAAGGCAGCTCCAGACGACTGTTTTGGAGGCCCCTCAGGTTGCAAAGATTCGACACCAGTTATCACAGCAAACCAACAGGTGTTGCAGTGATGGAAGCGGATAGGCGAACTGGTTCAGATAGAATGGATTCTACCCGACCTCAAAGGCCTCTGCATTTCTCTAGTGAGCTCTTCAGCCAGAAATGTGGTGAAACTAGGATAACTATTGGAGATGCTTCAGCGCGAGGTTAAAACGCAGAAAGGTTTCAAGACTGATGCAGAGCTGGCTAAACACTGAAGCTTCTGTGTCAACTACATGGCAACCTGTGTGCATAAAGGAAAGAGGGGGCGGGGGGAGACAGCTCCCTCCAATATTTTGAATTTGGACTGCAGTACAGTAAAGACTGATTGATTAATCGACTGAAAGCAAAGGGTAAATAGTCTGTTGTGACAATGTTAGCAAAGCTAACAAGCAGTTTCTAATGAAGCATCATATGCTGTAACATTCAAACGTAAGGTCTTTAAATGTTTTTCATGTTTCTGTATATTTACAATGAAAATCAAAGAGAACAAACATGCTCTACTCAACCCTGTTTACACAGACACTATAATAAACGGCATGTTTAACGACTGAACTAATCCCATACTATAAGCTAAGTCTGTTTTTGACCTGCAGCGATGAGTCAGATGTTTAAAGTCACACCACAGACATTCCTCACATACCTCAAGTTGTTACACTACAACCTGGTGTGTAGTAGTGGTAGTACATTCCAGAATGTGTTTAAAGTGGGCTGACTGACCAGAGCTGACAACTGTGTTAACATAAGAAAGAGGGAATAAATGTAGTAGAAGAACAATTATGTTAAGTTCAGCAGCGAGTAAGTGACATGACACGCAGACGCACACTGTAAGAAAAAGATATCAGGTAAAAACGACCTTCAAGAGGTTGCCTGGTGAGTGGCTTATAACTGATAGAAAATATGCATTATACATCTCATTGTGTGTTTGTAAAACCACTGTACTGATCAAGTAAGTTAAGCATACCCGTACAAAAGTCTTTTAGGCATTTTAAATATCGTATGATTAAGTCTGACTGCACAGATAGAAAATTATTACGTTGATTTATTAGCAGCGCTTTGAACATTTTACTAAATCAAAACTTCAAGGAAAAACAATCCTCGAAAAATAGTTTGTGAGCCACTTAGAGAACACGTTTGATGAAAAGCACAACAATGGCAGCAGCATGTAGCCAAGCTAACACATGTGAGCTAAGCTTAGAGCTCCCGTGAGGAACTTATATGTGTGTGACGATTTTGAACAAAATTAGATTTTTTTTTTTCCATTTTTTTTGCTGTCTTTGACCTATAGGCCCTACATGTGTACGCTTTCTTTTTTCTTTTTCTTTTTTTACAAAAGAGCTCATCCTGCTATATCTAAATAATCTAAATATCAATCAGACTGATTCTTCTTCATTGAAATGTAAAAAAAAAAAAAAAAAGGCTGTTTTCGCAGCGTGCAGTTAATCACTTGATCTGACACTTATTAACTCATTAGTGAGTCCCGGCATCGAAAATAACTATAACATTAATTTATCTTCATACTGTTTTTCTCATTCGTTTTTGTAGCTAATTAACAGGCATCATTATTTTGTTTCAAAGTAAAAGCCCTGACAGGAGCTTTAAAGAACAGTTTAACTAACAGTTTATTATCAGCCTGTTAGCGGATGAGATTAAACAGCGAGCTTGGCTCTGCAGGAAATTTAAATACAGAATAGAATACATTTACAGTTTGTGTTCTAGCTTGTTTGATTTGTATCTTTATAGAGTTTATAATTGGAGACATTGGTCCAGGCCAGAGATAGTTCCAACACATTACATCCGCTGTGAAACCAAGGAATATTTTCCTTTTGATTATATTTTAGCATGAATATAAAAAACATGTTCTTTCATGGAATCATTGATCCAGAATTTTCAAACGACATTTTTTTTTTCTTCTATCTTCACAACCTCTCCTTAACGACCCCCAGAGAACGATTTATTTGAAAACGTATTAAAAAAACAGAACTTCCTCCTTTAATAGATACAACCAGGGTGGATTTTAAAAAAAAGTTACTAATAACTTTAACCTGACTTTTTTTCAACTTTGCACACTTAACCTCTTAACACCCAAATAAAAGGTGTTGTTTTTGTGATTGAAGCCCAAAGCAGCTTTCTTTTTTTAAAGAAATAAAAATGAACATTAGAGATGATGAGGAATGTCCATGTGTGCAAAGAATGACTTAATGCCGACCATATACAGCTTAACAGGAATTGTCTTACTGACATATTCACAGTGGTATAAACCTATTATGTCTCTGTATCCGCTTTTCTACAATCCTCAGGCTTATTGTTCAGCTGCAAAGTCAATATCTTCTTTGTTGAAGCTGTTTCATTCTCATGCTGCTGCCTGTTCCTGGAAATATCTCCGTCACATCATGTGTTCAGTGTCTTTATCGAACACTTAATGCAGTGACACTGGCATTAAGGTTGCATTTGGTTGAGATCACTTAACATTATTTGTAGAGTTAGGTTTACATTTATTTGAAACAAATTTAGTATTTCAACAATGTACAGCTCTGAAACCTTTTAAAATGAGAGATTTACTGAGTAATCACTAGAATCAAATGATCCTATAAATATACATAAACTGCATATGAATTACATACAAGGTTCTTTATTTTTCATGATGCATCCAGCAATAGACGGTCCGAGAATTTCATACTTAATAAATCATCATCTTCAGCAGCACCCTCGAGCAGCAGTGAGAAGTGCTGAAAGAACTTCACCAACTGAATAAAACACAACACACAAAAGATTCACGACCAGCAGATTCAAAATCCCCAACAAACACGCTTGTTGAAGATATTTTATGAACTCAAAGATTTGTAGATCAGTTATTGACATTATCACTCAAAAAGCTTCCTGCTTTGAAAAAAGGCTCCATTGGACTGTAAATGGAGTTACATATTAAATTGATCTTTTCTGAACAAATAACTGCTATCTGATTTTTTTTTTATTCACTTAAACTCTTGGGGAAGCATTTTCCATACTGTATGCTAGAGTATCTGTCCCCTCTGTCTGTCATTTAATCAATCAAAGTCCTGTGCATCCAGTAAGGTCATGTTGTTTTTCGACTTTGTGACACAGTCCATTTTGTGAGTGATCCGTAGCCATGGTGACCGGTGGCATCTCCTTCATTCTTCTCTGACTTTCTATGTTTGCGCTTTGGATCTTTTTGGGGGATTTTTTTCTCTTTGCTGGAGCAACTCAAGCCCGTTAGGTGTAAAGTTGAGCTTGACAACTAACATGAATAAAGATGAATTTCATTTTCTTTTTGTCATGAGAATAAAGAGGAAAAGGCACAGGTGGGTTGTGACTTGTGGAACTTGTAGGTGAACACAAACTGTTTAAATGCAGCTAAATTCAGATAATGTTTCTTCAGTGTGAAAATGCAATATTTAATTGCAGTTCATAAATAAATATCTGCTAACTAGGAGGACATTCCTAGCCTGCTTTACTGCAAGTTTAAATCCAACTCATCTTTTAATCTCAACATCTAACCCTAAAGGCTGCATCACATGGCTGTTTTTATGATACTGATTATCAAGCTGTGCCCACAAACGCCTTTTGACAAACTCTACAACCAGGCGAAAAATGTAGCGCTACATAGTACTTAGTGCTTTTAAGAGTCACAAGGCTTTTTTGTCCTTCAGAGAAACGCACTCTGAGGGCAGCAGAGGCACTTAAAAAAAAAAGACTGACATACTATATTACTGGCTTACACAATTACATCCATTTACCCCAAGTGTGCAAATGATGTCCTTTCACTGTGACCAACCAAATGTCTCCAACACTTAAGTGAGCGGCAGCCTCTGCTCTCTGTAAAAACACGGTCCATTATGTTACTCAGGCATGAGAAAATCATTACAAAGTGGTGAGATTGGTGAGTATTTATGAGTCTCTCGGTTTGAGTTTGAAAAGGTTCAAAAATTAATTTGGTTTCTATTTTGAATCAACAGATTCAAAAGACATTTAAAAAAGGCAGATTAGACTGAGATGTGCGGCAGTCTTGTTCAGTTTTTTTAAACTGTATTAATCACTTCCATTTGTCAGTAGAATTAATGATCAGTCATATTCAAGCTTTTGGCTTTACAGCTTCGATCTGACAGCATTACACTCCACGACCCCGGCTGCTCGCATCTGGTCTATCTCAGCGGATGTAAATCCGTATTCCTCAAGGACCTCCGCTGTGTGTTCTCCAATAACAGGATCAGGGGAGAGGCACGGCTCAGCAGGAGTCCGAGAGAGAACCGGAGCCGGCCGGGGGCTTTCAGCGCCGCTGGAGTCTTCGATGAAAGAAGCTCTTTCCTTGTTATGTGGGTGTGAGCTCACCTGGTCGAAAGACAACACAGGTGTAACACAGGCATCAGTCCCGTCAAAAATCTCAGACCACTCCGCCTGGGACTTGGAGGCAAAACGCTCCGTGAAGATCCGTCTCAGCTCCGGCCAATCACTGAAGCTCATCTGAGAAGGCAGCTCTCCAGCATCGAGCTCCAAGCCTTGAAGAAGAACATAAAACACAATGGACTCACGTGTCAAGAGCAGAATGATGTAATAACAAAGACCTTTTCAACATGTCAGGGAAATAAGTCAACAGTCTTTTGGGGATTTCAACTCGCTCAGTCTCTCACTTTAAAATTTCATGACGGCTCTCCTCAAGCTGTTTGCATCTGCTGTGTTGAGTAGTTGCTGATAGTCCCTGTTTACAGAATTCCCTCTTTCAAGACTATTCATCAGCATCAGAAAAACTCTCAGGAACTCATTCAGAGAGACGTTATAGCTGCTGATGATGGCAGCATGAACTGACGATCTCATGCAATCCACAGTTATCTTTCCTGTCTCAAGGTGTGTGGGATTCAGACGAGATAAAGCACCTGCAGTTTAGTAGCCAATTGCAAATAGATCTTGTTAAATTATTGACTGGGTCATCATTGTGGCGAGGAGATTGAAAAATGGCAAATAAATCAACGAGTGAAATACCTTCAATTACTGCTGCCATGATGTCTAAAACCTCTGGCCGTGTTTCCACCTGTTGATGTGCTTTAGTTAACACCAACTCTCTGAAGGTGCTTACATTCTTTTTCTATTCCATGTGAGTTACTTTGCCAGTGAAGGCTTTACATACAGATCTGTAGCGATCCTATACGTGCATTTATAAATGCACAGTTGTCTTGTTATGCATTACAAGTATTTAAGGAAACGCCTGGATTTTGCAACATTTCTGTAGAGTGAACCGCTGTGTTGTGTTTTTGCTGTTTAATTTCTCAAACAGAAAACTGTGATTGTGTATAGGAGTGTTATTCTGGTTGCCAAACTCCAGTGCCGCCATTTATCATGAGTGTGTGATGACTGCATAATGAGACGGTAAAAATATTCCCATGCAAAGTGTGTAATTAATCAACTTGTGCTTATAGTAATGTGTGTAATTATTCCGCACAGAATCTTGTGGAAGCATATTGAATCTATAAGTAAAAAAGCGTGACGCGTGTCACAGCATGCATTAAGCAATCTCGCCATCAATCAGCGATTGTGCGTTCAAAGTTTTCATTTAAAAAAATGTAACAATCAAAGACTTTTAATGTTATTTTATGAAGTGTCATTACGGGTCATATTTCACATTTTGTCAGTGGTGAAAAAGATGATCGGGAAATGCTTCAGCAGTGTTTTGGTTCATTAGAGCATTTTGAATGTTAGATAAAAAGTCGGTAGGTCAAGAAAACCTTTGTTCTTTAAAAATATGAACTCACTGAAGAGGTGTTTTCACATTGTCATAAAAACCTTGATAATTTCACAAAATTGTACAGGGTGAGCTGCATGTGTGAACACAAAACACCCTATGTTCCAAGAATTTACCAGAATTGTTTCCTGTCAGGCCCCCAGTTAAATTTCACATGAGGTTGGGGTGAAGAGATGTGTGAACGCAGCAGGAAATATTCAGAAAAAGTTCCCCACGAGCGGGCGGTGAGAGTGATGACACACATATCACACGAAACAGTGAGCGACTGGTGCGATCATTGTTGGTCAATTAGAAAGGCTACTTCATATTTTTTCCGCGCCAGTATGTTCTTTTCCACTTGTTTGTCGACACTTTACAGACTTTCAAAAATTGCAGCATTGATATCAAGGCAAAAACTTTCACTGTTGTGTCAGACTGTTTGACATGATTTCCTGCCTCCTGTCCTGTGAGCTGCGTATGTGAACAGGGAAGTCAGGAAGATTTCAAGAGTAAATGTTTTCTTGAGTTTTCTAGGGATCCATGAAAGGCTTACTACTAAATTCCATCAGATGCATGTTCGGTCCGTTTCCGCTCGGCCATGGCATCAATCAATGTGTGTGCTGCGTCTCAGCTCTGTCCCAGCTCCGACCGTCTGAAGCCCTCAGCAGCAGATACGCAGGGCTTCTATTTTTGATGTGTTTATAAGGGTTTGATACGGTTTTATACCACCCACATCTCATTATCTTGCACAGTCGAGAGTGAATCTGTTATCACCAAGGGAACACCTTTTTCTCAGGACTCCAGGTGTCCAGCGGTGTTGCACTCTGACAACGCAGCCTGTGGTTGTTGAAGGACTAGGGGAACTGGAGCCTTAACGGAGCGGAGCTGACATGCAATGCACAAGTATCCGGTGGAAGTTCTGGGTTATGAGAGGCGCCAATGGCTTAGCCGTTAGGTTGCACCACATAAACACAGCCTATAGTCATTCAAGTGGGCGGCGAAGGTTTAAGTCCGACCTGCGGATCCTTCTCGTCTGTCGCTGTCATTCTCCACCCTCTCTCTGAATGACATACTCTGTCCATTTTCCTAATAAGAAATGCAAAAGCCTAAAAATTACTGTAAAAAAAGGTTTACGATCAATTGTTAAGAAGCTACTTCATCGCTCATTCCTTGTAGGATCTGATTGAGGATTACATTGTTACAGAAAGCTGCTCTCTATCTCAATGTGTCACTCACACTTCTCTCAACACATCAGTGTTGGGAGGAGGAGCAGGTGTTTCATTTCACACTTCACCCTTATATCTAAGGGTAATAGGGTATGATATATCTATCACCCCTATATCTGCACATGACTTACCCTGAAGTAGCTGCATGTAGAACTGGGGTTCTAAGGCCCCAACAGCCATGTACTTTCCGTCTGAAGTCTGGTACGTATCGTAGAACGGCGCTCCGCTGTCCAGCATGTTTTGTCCTCTTGAGCGGTCCCACAAGCCAACGCTACGAGACTTCCACACAAATGAACCTACATAAGCTGCTCCTTCGACCTGAGAGAGGGGAGAGAAAGAGAAAATTAAGTCTGTTAAGTATATGAAATCCATAATTACTCCAGTCATATAGAAACAAGAAAATACATCCAAGAAATTATTAGAGAGGTCCATAAAAACAATCACATAGCTTTTATTCTGTTCTTCAAGTCATAATTTTTTTTTATGTATTGTTTATTCATTTATTCATTTATGCATTGGACATAAATCAAACTCAAAAATTTAGCAAACCAGCTCCAGAGAAAACGCCAAGAAGGAAATTCTACATAGAGTGGTAATTACTGTTTGAATAAAAAACTTTTCATTAAAGCTTCATGAAATACTGCACATTATGTTCTCCTGCTGATAGAAGCGGTGCGAAGGCCCCGTTCTTTGTACCTTTGATGTGTTCAAGTCTCAGTGGGTGCCAAGGTTATTATCGTGGGCGAAAACTTAAAACTAAACTGAAACTTTATTTCAGTTTAAACTGAATTTAAACTGAAATAAAAACCAGGCTTTTCAAAAAAGAAGAACATAGCTAACTAAAAGTGAGTGTTTACAAAATAGCTTAAATTAAATCAAATTAGAGAGAAATGCACTTAGTAGAGCCTGACCGATTAATCGGCCGGCTGATATTTTCAGTCAATATTAGGGTATCAAATGATAATCTGTATCGGCTAATTTTATAGAAGATATGAACAAATATTTCTAGATTAACTCACCAGTCAAAACAGCATTTCATTTGACTTTCAGTGTATTAAACTAGAAGTTTTCTGTCACCAGTAGAGGGTGCTATATGGATTAAAAAAGCCATTTCAGTTTTGGGTGAGCTAAAGCAGGGGTGGCATCATGAAGTTTGTGCGCACAAAATGGTACGATGTTTCCTTTCTCTGGCCCTCGTGGGTGCACAAAACTACTTCATCTGCAGCTGACTGAGTAGAAAAGTATCAGTCAAGCATTTAGTACATTTCATAAGATTTGATGATGAATGAATGAATGAGTCACCTATTAAAACATTCAGGGTTATGTATAGTTTATGAAAGAGGTTCAAAGCCATAACTTCTTTTATTCCTTTGATCTGCAATCAAATCTGTTAAGTTCAACCTCAAACTGTGCGTAAGCTTCCTCTCAGTCGTCTTTATGAGTGGACAATAAAAGGTCTGAAAGAGCTAGAAGTGGGTAGAGACGGTTGGGACATGTCTGCTTATATCCAACTATCACTACATAAACCATAACTGTGTCCCCCTCTCTCTCTCTCTCTGTCGGAGAACAATACATTTATTATTATTTATGAACATGCAGGGCAATTATAAGTTCTGAGAGAGCTGGTTCATACAGGGTCACAAACCTCCTCTGAGCATTGTTGCTCCCAACTAGTTTCTGAAGCAGATTGAGCTTTTTAGCTTCTAAATCCTCCGATCTCTTCACCAGCCTCCTGTTCCCAAGTGTTTTTGCCCGCTTTTTTGGCATTGACAAGGTGATATTAGTAGGTTTCTAAAAGCTTTTTTTTGTAAAAGAAGGAGCATTGATGGAGGACCAAAAGAGTAAAAAGGAGAGCATGGCTGGTGAAAATTAAGTGACATAATGGTCTTTTAAGCTAAGGGAGCTGCATGTGTGTTCACTTGTTTGTGTCTCATCCATTACAGAAGTAAAGAAAAACAAGCCTTTCTTAACATCTTTGTAAACTTCTCTAGAATTGTCCACTGGTATATAATTCAGAATCAATATGTACATTCATATGTGTAACCCTTTTATTTAAAGGTCACATATTTTACTTATTTTCAACCAGTTGAAATAAGTCTCAGAGGTTCCCAAAACATGTCTGTGAAGATTCTTGCTATGAATCCACTCTGATCCTGTATTTGATCATACCTATAAACCCCTCTATTTCAGCCCTGCTCAGAACAGGCTGTTTCTGTGTCTGTAGCTTTAAATGTAAATGAGCTATGTCTGACCACGCCCCTCTCTGGAAGGGCTTGGGTGTCTCGGGCTTTCTTGCTCCATGCCGTATTGTTTTCAGTTAGAAGGCAGACTCTCAGGGCAGAACAAACACCTAGCTGTGGGAGTGTCACCCACCTGGGGGAGGAGTTACTGGCCTTTGTGATGTCATGAAGTGAAAATCTCCAAACAGCCTGTTTGAGCACACATTTCCGGAAAAGTGGAGCAGGCAAAAGACTAAGAGGATGGACTTTTCTCATAGCTGGGGGGTTTGAAGACGGACTAGGGACACAAGTTAGTGTTTGAAAAACATGGTTAAGTGTATTTTGCATAATATGTGACCTAAAGTATTGCACTTTATTATTATATGTTAATTATAGGGCATGTTTTTTTCAGTGACACAGTATGGGAAATGTAGGCAAGACATAAACAACAGGAAAAACACGCTCCCTAACTTTATGGCAGAAAGTGCTGATTGCTGATGTATGACTTCCGAGCAGCACTGAAGCTCAGTGAGTCAAATCAAGTAACCCTAAAATTAACTTGATCTTGTTACATGCACCTAGTCTTTGATTTTAAATGTGCTGGATTCAAGCCTGAGGATTTTTGGGGGGCTCAGCAAGATTCACACACTGTGATGTGCTTTTAAAACAAAAATGTTCAAACTTGGCTCAGGGCTGTCCAAATGATCACTTATCCTATTACAAGTCGACTCTGAAGTTTACTGCTGTGTGGTGCATCATCATCTGGAAACATACTATGTTGTAATTCAGAGCACCATGCGCTATGAAGTTTGTAGCATTTTAAAACTTTCCTGGTTACAAACAAGCATCGAGGCAGACGATAAATTAGTTCTGCTATGATAACTTCGCTGAGTTATAAAATCTTTGCCTCGAGTCTTCGTACTTGGCAACCTGCTTTGTATCTCATTTTTCAGCAGTATCTATGGCAATGTGTGACACTTACTCAGGTTCGGTGCTTGATCCCCTCCTGTTCATCATAAACTTACTCCCACGTGTTAATACAGTATCATCCGCCAGCATGGTCTCCGTTTCCACTATTACGGCTCAACATCCAGTTTTACATTTCCACTAATTCCATCACCACTGAAACCCGCTCCAGCCTAATAAACCGCCTCATTGAAATAAAAACATGGAACTTATCCACACGCCACAAAGGAATACGCCTCGCGTTTTGAAAAGTTCCACTAGATCAGCAGCAAGCAGCAAGCAGCTGTACATTAACATTTTGAAACAAAGCCATGAGATGCTTCAGTTTTGATTGGAGCAGGGCACTTCAATCGGTGCATTTACAAGAGGGATGTGTGACATCTCTCTTTCTCTCTCTCTCCCGGACGCTGATGTGATTCTTCTCTTCTCAAATGGCCTGTTTGAAAACACATTTTCTGAAAAGTGGAGCAGGGAAAATACTGAGAGGATGCACTTTTCTCATAATTGGGGGGTTTGTAGACAGACTAGGGACACATGTCAGAGTTTGAAAAACATGGTAAAGTGTATTTTGCATAATATGTGAGTGTCTGGCTGCAGCTGACATGTTTGTGTCATATTCTGGAGCTTGTATTTTTGTTGAAACTAGTAAAACTTATGAAGCTTTCTTCTGCATATTCCTGTCTAGCCATCCTTCAAAATTAAACTCTCAATGAAGCAGCTGATAAATCCTAGTGACTTCTCCCACTGCTCAAAGTCCCCTTCACCTGGTCACTGAAGTCTCTGACAATAATCTCACCATGCTGGCATCAATGATCTGTCCTTTCCCTGACTTCATCCTCTCCAGCAGAGCCAGAACGATCCCCATAGCACAGGTGAGACCACCACCTGCAAAGTCTGCAACCAGGTTCAGTGGAGCGCACGGCTTCTCTTCAGTGCGACCCAGCCGGGATAAAAGGCCTGTGACAGAAAGCAATCATCACAAACAATGTAATGAAGATAGAGGAACTGTACAGTGTCCAGCCTGAAGGTCAGGGGGTGATCGCTCCAAAAAAAAAGAAAATATTGAGAGCCCCTGGGAACAGGAATGATTAAAAATGCACAATGTGCACAAATGTTTGCTTAACACTTTGTCTTACAAATATATTTTAAAGGGATAGTTCAGTTTTTTTTTTTTTTTTTTTTTTTTTTTTTTTTTTTAATTGGGGTAGTATGAGGTACTTATCTGTAGTGGAAACATACTATCTGTCTGTTGCCTTCGTCTGACCTTAAAAGATTAAGATGATCGTGCGTCATTTAGCAATTAGAAACTGTTTCTCTGTATGGCCTTGGTCTGTATCTCCAACAGGTACGCTCCTCAGGATCTGGGTACAGCATGACTTTAGATCAGTGCCCTCCTGACAAAGGAGTTTCTGTTGATGTTCCTCCGTACCAGGTGCCTTATAGAAGCTTGCATTGATTAATCACCAGGCAAACTAGCAGATGGCGTAGTCACTAGGGCAAGCTGAAACCAATGACGATGTATCACTCATGTTTATGCAAAATACCTACACCCTGTGAAAGTATAAATATGCTCTGCAACCTGGACTGCCCCGGGAATCTTTGATGCACTTGTGACTGATGTTACTTTTGTAGCTGATTACCCCTTTTGCAAAAGAACTTTTTACTATATGCAATAAAATACACAAAGACAAAATACTTGGACTTGAGATCTTTCATTACCAACAGAAAAATCCACAACAATCATAATAATATAATGTATTACATTGAAGAAGTCTGCATACAAACTAGGCATATTCTGAATTATTCTGGCAGTGTGAGCTCTAAAAACTAAAAAAGAAAAACATAAAAAAAAGGAGGAATAAAAGGGAGGGAGGATCTTTTGGATGAAGTGTGGGGCCTTTTCCCTGCTCATCGATTGACTATAAAAGACTGATGCTATTTATCGTGTGTGTGGATACGACACGATACACTTTATTGTCCCCTTGTGGAAATTTGTCTGGGACTCAAAGTGCTGCCAAACATTCAGCTGCTTCCAGAAAACAATCAACACAGGCAGGTAGCAGCAGCATGTGAGTCCGGATCACGGATGTGTATTGCTCTGTAGACTTCCTAGTTTGTTTTGAATGTACTGTCTTGTCTCCCTCGTTGTTGATATACCCCGTTTGTCTTATCTATGTAACTGCCAGACTTTCTTTTATTGTCTAGAGGAGAAAGGAAACAGTAGAGTGAGATAAATTGGCAGGCCGTGAGGAAAGGAACACTTTGTGTCAGGAATACAAATGTAGTGATAAAACCCAAGTTTAAATGTAAATGCAAAATCGAAAGATATTCATAGAAAATAGCAACATGTGGCAGAGCAGGTATTATGAGAAATCCTTCTACTTTTAGTGGCGTACTTCATGTAAGAGACATAAACATAACTTTTTTATCTTCATGAGATGCAGAAAGGACGTCGACCTGTCAATCTGAACGGACCATCCCTGCTCTCTCTCTATCCTCTCGCTCTCTCTCTCTCTCTTCTCTCATTGTGATGGGACACACCACAGATACTCTGACATGTGAAGAGTAGAAGGGAATATGTCAGGGAAGGAGTTTGTGTTGTTTTGGTGACTATCTGTATAACAAGCAGAAACAAGAAAGACTAAGAACCCATCACTGAAGAACACCTTGTGCCATGTGGACGTGGCGTTCTCAACTTCAATTCAATTCCATTTGTTTTATTTTGCAAATGTTACAATTATATTAAATCCACAAAAAGCCATTCCTGTCCTTCATTGTGTCTCCTGATGTTTCCTATTTGTGTTACAGACATTACCACGGGACTTGGTATCCAAAAGTACTGGAGTATTCAAACATTTTGAGAACCTTGAAAATAAAAAGCCTTGTGTTTTTGGATCATGCTGAATTCCTTCCTGTTGCGTTTGGGCCTGAGCCTGAGAGATAGTTCCTGTGTAAAGCCAACATTGTAGTGGAGCTGTTGTGTTCCTGGGGAGGAGGGTTTTGATGTCCTCAAAAGGATTTTTCATCTTTAGATGTGCACAGTGAGTGCTGCAACACTTAGAGGAACTTACAAGGACATAAACAAAAAAATAATAATTTAAGTGGGACTGTAAATGGAGTAAAGCTTTCAGGGCACATTTCCAAGGACGCAATGAAAGCTTGAAAACAAAGCAACACATATTACTGCATTTGTTTTTGTTTTTATTCATGAATTCCAAATGACAACAAGGAGAGATACTTGCATTACAATTTCATTTACCTCATATGCAAACTATCTGTAGCGTGTTTTTCTGTATCGCCCTCCAGTGATAGCAAAAGGACGTTGCATAAACATATCAGACATGTTGTGTAATCAGTTCATCTAATTGTTGGTTTATAGATAAATGTGAAACTTTTAAACTTTTTGGTCTAAGTTTCTGAAATGAGAGTTTGTATGAATCTTTGACTTTTTGGAGAGATTTTCAATTTCTTTTCAAGAAGTGCAACTCTCAAATTACTGCCCTCTAGTGGTATCTACAGGAAGCTACATACATGTTACAGACCCGGTTTTGTGACATCAGAGTAGACTCTGTTTGGTCATCTTTCCTTCCAGAGTTGCTTTAAAAGTCTCTGTATTTGCGGGCGCAGAGAGAACTCCCATGATTCCCCAACAGCCTCAACGTTATATTTTGTTATTGTATTGATTGAGAGCCCCCTGCTGGAGGAATCTACATACATACATACATACATTCTATAGTTAATATCTTGTATAAAAGTAAATGGACACTCATATATGATGCAAAAACACTTACAGTTGTGCGTTATTACCTGACATGGCGAGATAGTTGATGTCATGTCCAGCAGTATTGGCATAAGATCCACTCTGGCCGTACCCCGTCAGCCGAGCGTAGATCAGACGGGGATTCTCCTTTAAGAGCTCAAGTGGGCCGAGGCCCAGCTTCTCCATCACACCTGAAGAAAGTCAAAGATGTAAAATGATGTGTTATGAATTCAAGCACTGATCATATTTCATCAAACAAGTTGCTAATTTTCTCCTGATCACTTGATTGATACATTGATTTAACTAAAGTGATTTAAAAAAAATAATAAATCTGTAGAAGATTCATCTTTATAAATGTTTGTGACCCAAAGAAGTAAAAGTAAGCCCTCTTGATTGGGCCTGACCACTAGTTAGTACAGCAGTAAAATACAGATTTTTCAGTTTTCAAATTGTACTTTTACTCAGAACTTTTCAGTTACATCGTCCTGATTAAACTTCTGTTGCATTGTTTTTGCAATAGGGTTTGAGTGAAGGACTTGTACTCCCTACTAATGGAGTATTTATTAATCACAGTAGTGTTTGTAGTCTGACCTTTACGGTAGGGCTCAAGGACCACATCAGACTGGACACAGAGTTTCCTGAGCACAGCGACGCCCTCTGATGACTTCAGGTTGAGGGCCACAGATTGTTTCCCCCGTCCTTGTGTGTCCAAAGACATGGCCACCTTTGTCCGGTCCACGCGGATCACCTTGGCTCCAAAGTCCGCCAGGATCATACCGCAGAACGGTGCCGGAGCTAAACCCGCCAGCTCGATAACCCTCACTCCAGCCAGAGCCATGGCGAGAGGACTGTGAGGGAGAATATGAGAAACACATCTCAGTATTTAACAAAAAAAACAGAGAATTCACAGCAGACCTCACATAGTTTTCCTCATCAAGTTCAGTGTGGCAGCCATTATTATCATTTTCTGATAGATCTTTGAGTCATTTTCCTGATAACCTGTTACCGCTTTAACATGTCGTAAAACAATGGAAACGCCTATCACACTTAACAGAGCCAAAGGTGACATCTTCAAATCATCTAAATTAGCAGTGTGTCTGTCTGAACAACAGTCCAAGGTCCAAGTATTCAGTTTACCACCTCCGGGACTAGGCAAATATTCTCATATATCAGAGACTGGAACAAAACAATTCCTTAATAAAATAAAGAATCGCTTCATCAAACGTCTTGATTATTGCCTAGGTTATGAATGACGTTGTTTCAAAGTGTTTATGCTCTTGGGACCAGAAAAAATACACACGCTTACACAAGAGCATGTACACTTTCTAACAAACTTTTGTTAATGTTTTTTTTTTCACTGCACATAAATGCATTTATGGATAAACAGGGTGAGTACAAAGTGGTGAAACTGGTGGTTTTCTATACAACGGTTGATCCCAAAGAATCATAGAAAGTACTGCTGCAATTCGCAAAGATGCAAAGAAGGGATAAGCGTTGTTTTAGTTAACTTTCAACTTTTAAAAGTTAAATGAAAAGTTGACGAAAACACCAAAACTGTGTTGACTCCGATTCAGAGTCAAAGTACAAATGATCTGTTTTCATCAAAGTCCAAAAAGTGACACCAGCCAATTTGTAAAAACCTGAAAGTTTAAAACCAAGTCTGTTCTAGTGAGGCTGCACAAGTCATCCTGTTGTGTTATAAAGACACGAAGTCAGACAGTAAGTGTAACATGTGTTACAATGAATGACATTACTCTACAGAAAACAATGACTCAGTGATTTCTCAGTAAACAAATCAGTGAAGGAGAGTCTAACTTACTGTTGATTTATGAAACATTGCCCTTAAGAGAGTTCAAAACGGAAAGCCTGCAGTAGCTCTACGGTAACAAGCTTACTGTCGTTTGTAAATCAGGACAGGAGGACACTTTGTGTGTGTGTGTGTGTGTATATGTACAGTGTGTGTTTGTATATGTGCAGTGTGTGTTTGTATATGTACAGTGTGTGTTTGTATATGTACAGTGTGTGTTTGTATATGTACAGTGTGTTTGTATATGTACAGTGTGTGTTTGTATATGTACAGTGTGTGTTTTGTATATGTACAGTGTGTGTTTGTATATGTACAGTGTGTGTTTGTATATGTACAGTGTGTGTTTGTATATGTACAGTGTGTGTTTGTATATGTACAGTGTGTGTTTGTATATGTACAGTGCGTGTTTGTATATGTACAGTGTGTGTTTGTATATGTACAGTGTGTGTGTGTGTTGGGACTAGTGAGGCAATGAGGTAATCATTAATAGTAAAGATGTGCAAATAATAAGCAGCATGCATAAAGTTAAGCATGTTTTCAGCTGTTGTGGCTAATATATAAGCTGCTTTTAGCTGCTTTAAAGTGCTTACCTGTTGAGCTGTAGCGTGGTTGTTATTCTAGAAACAGGTGCAGGTTGAACAGGTGAACCAGCAGACTCAGCAGTGAAGCATGTTCCCGTTCACAGGTCAGATGCACTCT